AACAGGGTGCAAGTGACGAGGATCTGGCGAACGCCTTTGCCTCCTGGCACCGCGGCCTATTTCAATCTTTGCTGCCAGCCTGTGGCATGGGCTAATGAGCCGACCCCGGCCTGTGAAATGCTTCTTCATGCTAGTGACCCAAATCCCAGGCTTTCAGACAACCTGCTGTCTTTGATCCTTGGCTGACCTGAGCATTCGTGAAGTTTGAGTGGTTCATGTATGCAGTCTCAGCATGAAATTTACACACAGGGACCGGATACTGTAGGGCCTCTGGACTCCTTGAAAGGCCAAGAACTCTGCAGATAAGGGACCTGGAACTGGAGCCCTGTGAAGAACAGCGGCCCAGCAGTTTGCCCTGGCTGGTTGAGGACGCTTTCCTGCTCAGCTGGGTGCAAGCATATGCAAGCGCGGTAAGGAACAGGGTGCCAAGTAAGCCCACCTCCCCTTGCCCTTGGTTGGGCTTTGCCAGGATCTGCTCATGGAACATTTGATTGGAGACAGCTCAGACCTTTAGCTGAACATTGGACAAGCTGGTTTGTGTCTGCGTTTGGGAAGTGCAGATCTTCGTGAGAAGCAGTGCAAGCCTCAGAGGATTGTGATCAATGCATCATACGTCACTACCAAAGTGGCGGGCTAGTTATTCGATTCTGCCTGCACCCCTTCGTTTTCTTCACAAAGCACACCCTGGCTTGGTTCCAGGCATCTTCTGCCCCAAAGAAGACCACAAGTGGATTCAGCAACGGCACACGATCATTCTATACAGCGAATACCATCCACCCAAGGAAAGCCGATACTGGGTCTTGCAGCGAAGCGCCAATGTGGCAGCTGCCGTGGGCCCTACCCTTTACCGGATACTTGCGAAGTGCCTGCGTGTGGGGCCCAGCTATGCGAGTGCAGTTTCGTGCGCGGGATTTTTCCAGAATTAAGCTGGGATTGTTCTGATTGAAGGGAGAGTTTTGGAAGGCCCTTGCATTCAAGATGCTTTAGCGGCCAGCTGAATTGTGCTTGTATTCGCCTGCACCGGATTTGTATCTGAGGCCTGGTTGCGGCGGAGATGCCAATGAGAAAAGCTTTGGAGGCATGGGTGAGGTGTGTACTTCTCCCTTGAGCATAGCATGTATTCCTTATAGGCCTTGGGCTTGCGCATCGATGCGGAGCTCTCGGAGGCGTGTGCTGCAGTGTAGAGGTGGCTGATGTCAACGTAACAGCTGTAGCACGGATTGCACACTTCTTCCAAGGTTCGGTTCACGGCAACCAGGGAGTAGCAACTGTGGTGTATTGACAAGGCATGTTTGGGCCCACTGTGCCAGAAGAGGTGGTTGGACATGGTTGGACAAGATTCGACAATTTAGTGCGTTCAGATGCCTGAAATCCAGAAAGGGTGTCGCGGCCTTATTGCAGGTTCCTGCTGACACCCGTGGAGGCATCAAGGTGCGGATTCCGAATTGATGATGAATGTTGTCAGCAAAGCACAGCTGCAAGGCAGAGCTTGTGGCTGTGGTCTTGGAGGCAGCGGGAAGATGTCTGTCTAGGACACATCTCGCATGCCCTCTCTTGCGTGCATGTGCAGAATGCCCTCGAGCCGTCGAAGAGAGACAAGGCCAAAGAGTACAAAGATGTGGACAAGGCATTCAGTGCTCTTGCATGCACCAAGACGTTCCTGTCCGGTGATGGTGCAGGGATGTAGCGATGCCAGTGCATGTGTTGCATAGATCTTTGTCACACACAAGCATAAGGGGAAGGCAAGATCGCTGCAGATGCTTTTTCATAGAAACTGGCTCCCACCATCCGCTCTGTTAGCCTGTATTTCGTGCAGCATGTTCGTAGAGCTGACAAGGGCCACTGCATTTAGCTTTTCTGGTGAGGTGTATCTGGCATATCAAAATCCTCAACCCATTTTTCAGAGGTTCGTCCGACATTGCCCGACTTCTTCTAATGCAAACACGACAACGTTGTAACATGTCACCTTGTCAGGAACCGGGTAGCGGTGAAACATTCACCAGATGATGTTTTGGGAATGCTCCAGACCCAGCGACTCAACGAACAGAGAGCACTGCATGTCACAGAATGGTCTTGTGTTGCTAGTTTGTTCGAATGAAGCATGTAGCTTTTGTGCGCACAATAGACATGTGCACCAATGTTGGATGATTATTTGCTGAAACGTAGATGAACCTAGGTATGCGAGTTGAGGGGCTTCAAGCAAAGTTATTTCCGGTAAAGTTGGTATTCAACCCCCGGCAGACGATGCCAGCATATGTCGCAAATCTAGGAAGGGTTGAGAGCAACTGTTGGTTGAGCATCTTCACTCAGGGACATCTTGTCGTGCGCGCCAGTGTTAAGACCTCGCACAACCTCATGCTGGACTAAATGCCGGTTCAGGGCAATCAGCAGCGATCTTGCGTTCCAGGCAGTGCAGCAGCGTAGGCGAAAGCCACGACACTTTGGAGTTGAGTGCCTCTTCGTACTTGGCGGCAAGTGGTGTGCATTGTGCAAATGTTTGTCGCTCGCCAGGGCAAGGGGAAGGGACCTCGAAAGCCGCTTTCTGAACTCCAGGACCGAGCTGAACCTGCGATTTCTGCGCTCAGAGGCAGCAACAGTCCCTCAGCATCAGGATGTGCTCAAGGCGGACTTGCCGGACACCCAGCAAAAGATTGGTAGTTTGCCAACGTAAGCTACACGTATCCATGGCAACATTCAGAGCACATTGACAGGCTGCAAGGTTACAGTGACAAGCATTTCTGTTGTTGACAACATTTTTGCAACTCTCTCTGTACGGTTCCAAGTGGGCTCAGCGCAGGTCTGGCGGCATCTGTAGCATTCTGCAGCTACAGTAGCCGTACCCCCCCAGCCTCAGAGCCCGAGGCTGTCGTGGGGCCGCGCATTGCGCTGGTTCGACATGGTGCAGGTGGCGGTGCTTGTTTGATTCGGCGCCGATTAGGGTCGCTGCCAGAATTGCTATTACTTGGGCGTATGTCCGGACAGATGGACAATAGAGCGGCCTTCCAGTTCTCGGCACAGTTTCGAGAGTTGGCTCAAGGAGACAGCGTTGTGTTAGGCCAGATCCCGTTCCCAAACGGCTGACTTGATGACCTTTGCCGATGAGTTATTGAAAGATGCCAAAGCTGCGAGGAAGACATGGAGTGAGCGCCAGGCAGAGAGGTTTGTGAAGGTGTGCCAGAAGCGGGTGCGGGACAGCCAGGGCTTTGAGACCAGCGCAAGTATGAAGATTCTCGCCCCGGCTCAGACACTGGAAGGTGCAAAGAAGGCCGCTTTGGAGCTAAAGCGCAGTCTGGATACCCATGGCTTCGTCGCTTCCGAGGTGCAGGTCGAAGCCTGGGTGAAGGGCATGATATTCCGCCTAATGATTCAGGGTTCCTGGATGAATGATACGATGCCGCCTAAAGGTGGGCTTCGTGGCCAGTGCCCGATTTGCCTCGGGTCCAAAATGCTTGTAGCCTTGGCGCCTTGTGGTCACACCATGTGCAGTCCCTGTCAACAAAAGGTTGCGGCTCGGAGGAAGTGTCCAATGTGCCGCTGTCATGTTGACCGGGTGACGACAGGAATCTATGTGGAGTGATTCCGGAGTTTCCTTCTTGCGGCGATGCACGTAAACGGTTGTGTTGGATGGTGATCAAACTGCGCTTGTGTGATTGACGCCTCCCCTCGGACTGATGGAAAATGATGGCAATGAGCAAGTGCGGCAGAGCCTCGCAGTAGTCAGTAAACGTACCTTCAAGACCTCTGCCTAGAGGCATTGTCCAAGTGTTCGACTTGATGAGACTGTAGAATCTTCGGTGTTCAGAACTGCACAGAGCTGCTTGCATGAGAGCCGAACACAAGGAAGTAGGAAGAACTTTCGTATAGATTGGTGGGAGTTGTCATGTGGCATGAAAAGATGGGCAGATTGCGTGCGTGATACTCCAGTTGCAAGTAGTGTCATAGCATGTCGTACAACAGCTGGCAGCTATAATGGCATCATGTTCTACGAGCATGCTTCTAGCCACCGCGCTTACAAGCCGCTCTCTGGATTTACAAAATGAAATTTTGCATTACTCAGAGCATTGAGAGCAAAGTCTTCGCGTTGTAGAGCCGCTTGCAAGGAAGATTTGCCAGCTGATCTACGGGCACGGTTGCATAAATGCACGGAGCCGGCATCGCGGCTGCATTGTATTGCACTGCGTTTCTGAGAGAGAGCATCATGTCACGGCCTATAATGCGGGGCCGTAGCGGGCTAGGGATAATTGTCCGTTCTGTGCTGCCTGATCTTGCACCCTTGCAGCAGATGCAGCAGAAGCTTTGGTCTTGACATGTCTTGACCCTCTGCTCCCTTTGAGATGCAGGCCCGTGGTGGTCTGGACATCCTTGCAGAAGCTGCGCAGACGGGCGCGCTGCCGGCCCGAGTGCCCAGAACAGGGAGGCCTCTTTCCACACGATTTTGTTTCCCCCTAAGAAGTCTTAGCAACTGGAAGTGCTGTTGTACTGAGGTCGCTGCCGTGTCTGGGTTGGTATCCAGCGCGGGGGACGCGCTGGTGCCCTGCATGCACAGATGTCGCAGCCATACAGTCTGTACTCCACATCCATACATTTTAATCTACTGTAATATACTATAATGTACTACAATAATGCTGCGCACCTGAAAGGAAATGGCTGGCCGGCAGGATGCTGCGGAAGCCTTGAGCTCTTTGACGGAAGCATAAATTGCAAAGCAAGTAGCCATCCATGACAGATTGCCTCTGAGGGTCCTGGCACCAGCGCTTGGTGGAGGCCAACGCTGTTCTACAGGGCTTGGCAGCTTTGCTGCACGACACCAACACTAGCCATGCCTACCTTGAATTCTGAGAGCAGTGTAGCAAAATTCAGCAACGATTTTCTGAGCTCAGGTGTCAAGCTGTCAGACACTCTGGCCAAATGATGCGTCGCTCCAGATGGCTGTAGGCAGAGTGGCAGAGGCTCCATGGCATATGTAGCACAGGAAGGTCTTGTTGGGCTGAAGCGGATCCATGCCTTCACAACTGACAGCTGCTTTGAATGTACAGGCAACTCAAGTATAGACACGTACCCGCTATATCACATCTACTTATTCTACTTCACAGTTCTCTTTTCCATAAGCTGTGATCCTCCAGGCTTGGCCAGAGCTGCAGGCGGCTGCAGCTCTAGCAGGTCTTCAAGGCCCCAAAACGTGTTCTTAGGACACTGCGGCTGCGACATTCCACCAGTTTGAGTAGGTTTGACTGGGCAGGTGAGGCTTCATTGGCCTTCTCACAGGCATGGCTGATGACGGAAATCAGTCAGTAGCCACAGCACACAATGTCGGCAGACCAGACATTTTGGATTTCAGAGGTGTTTAGACGGCTTGTTTAGTTAGGGATTGTCATGTCCGATTTGGGATAATAGGAGGGCTTGGTAAGGGCGGCGCACTTGTTCTGCAGTTTGAAACATGTACCATGAACAGGACCTCTGTTGGCATCTGGATTCCTGTATTAATCGGTACTCACGCGCGGTTCACAAATTGGGGGAGGGTACCGGAATCCAGTCATTTACAATTCATAACGCGCAGAAGACCCCAACCCATCGTGATGAGCCCAGACCCGCCTGGAGCCAGTCAAGTAGAACGTTTCCCCGCTGATACAGTTCGCAAGTAGACTCCAACTTCTGACTGGGTAGATGACGCGGTGATTACAGATGGGTGGATTTAGGGAACCATACCTGTACTGCAGGTGCCTTCAATGCTGCTTGTCGTCAGCCCTGCCCTTTGTGTGCTGGGCAAATCTGCGGCTTTCCGTGTCGGGGTGCCCAGCGCTCTCTGCTGATGCCTGCGCTTCCGAAAATTCCGAAACACTCTGCTGAGGCGCTGTGGTCTCACGAGGGCTGTGGCGCAGGCCGCTTCGAGCCGGCAGAGTTGCAGCCGCTCGGTCAAGTATGCCTGGGGCCGGGTGACTTTCCAAAAAGAAAGCTGCCGAGGCTTTCTGCCATTGCCTGGGCTGGCTTCTATACTTCGCTTCGTGCACCCGAGGCAGGCCCAGGCTCAGCTTCTCGTGCGTTTGGCAAAGCTCTGCTTTGTGGGAAGGCCTCTGAGCTTCCTCTGCCAGCCTTGGAGCCGGTCCTTGGAAGGCCCCTTTCTGGCTGAGACTCAGAGAGAGACGATAGATAGTCAACCTGCTGAAGGCTGCAGGAGGCCGAGGAGTTACGCCTCATGGCTGTCACAGGCCTGATGACCTGTGAAACACCTTTGTGGTTCCGCTTCATGTGTAGCTATGCTCCTGTCCAGCAGGATCCACTCTGCAGCTCTGTGATGGTAAGATCGTTGCCTGGACGACCTCAGATCCGAGTGCAGAATGGGAGGCAGGACTATGTGAAGTTCCTGCCTGGTACAATCTTGTACGCATTACATTTAATGTTGGAGTATTTCATAGTATTTTCAAGTCTATCTAGACACAGCAGTTTCTCCACTTTTCTTGCTTTTGTCGTGGGACCTTCGCAGCCCTGCGATCCCTAGGAGGCAGCTGCCGAGCTGGCCCGGCAACCCGGCCTCGTCAGGGCATATTTCGGGTGTTCGCAAACGTGCTTCTTTCCATTGTTGGGATTTTCAAGCCTCCAATCTGACTGTTGGAAGTCCACTTGTGGCCAGCGAAAGTAAGGAAGCTTTGGCACAGCGTCTCCGTGAAGCAATGCCATGCAGCTTTGCAGCGGACACTTTTCGGATTACGGGAGAAGCTCCTGGATGAGACGACCGGACACAAGGAGCCTCGCGCGTCAAAGGCATAAAGCAGCAAAGGCTTACACCGAACGTGTGTAGAGGGCTCTGGTCCGGCATGCCTGCCACAAGAACAACAAGCCAAGGATGCAGATTCTGCCTTGGACATCCTGATGAAGTTGAAGGACCTTCAATGAAGGTTTCTTGCACCAAACAGCAAGGGATCAGCGCTGATGGCTCGCTCTGCGTCAGGATGCCTTCCAGAGCTGGGATGCCACAGCCCTCAAAGACCATGTGCCACAGCTGCAGAAAAGCCTACATCACGGTTGACAAAGACAAGGCGTTTTTGAGTTGACGTCTTGGAATCTCGCAGGGGCCCATTGGACAACTGGCGGCACAGATCGATGCCAGGCTGCTGATCCACCCTGAGGCTTGGTACCACAAAATGAGCGTTGGGTTGGAATTGAGGCGCAGGTCTGGATTGGCTTGTTGCATCGCTAAAATCAGATGAGTGGTGTCATAGTCATGGAGGCCTTGATGGCCAGCATGCTGAAGTCCTTCGAGATGCTGCAGTGGTCGAGTGGCCGCATGTTACTGCTGAGTTGGAGCTAATGCTTTTGCAAGAGACTTCAGGCTGCGAAAGATGCCCGACGATGCTGACTACCTTGTTCCTCGCTGCATTGGCCGGCTTACATCTCCCAAGCCACTGTGAGCCGAGGTTCGAATCGAAGTGGCTCTTAACCGATCGGAGATGGAGGTGCCTAATGAGCTGTGGCTTGCAGACGAAGGTGCCCCGTTCGCAACGGTTTTGCACACGCGGTCAGAGGTTTGTTCGAGCAACTTTCACCCTGTGATGATAGAGAGGCAGAGTAGACGAGAGCAAGCTGTCGGCCCTCACGGCAGTGCGGACCACCTTGCATGCGACCAGGTTGCACTCAGCTTTGGAGTCCCACGTTTTGTCAACTTAACTATCGTGAAGATTCTGCCAGGATTTCATCTACCGGCCCAAGACCCGCTTCCCTTCCCTGGACTTGCTGCTGGAGTCCCTTTCTGCGTTGGAGCATTCCTCTGAGATTGCAGGAGCCAGTTTTGACGGTTTCTGATCTCCCAAGCCATCAGCGGAAGAATTTGCTTTCAGCCAGTCCCAGCAGGCCTTGTAGATGCCCTGGAGTTTGCCTTCTCCCTGCTTGAGCCTCTCTCTGAGCTCTTGGGTGGCAAGGCCAGAGCAGGGGCTGAAGGCTTGCAACTGGAGAAACATCACGCATCATGAGGATGCGTTCTAAATCCCCGCTTATTGTAGCAAGACTGTGGTTGGTGTTAGGATCTTGCAAAGGGCTGCAAAAACCCTGTGCACGCGCAAGCTTGACTTTGCAGACATGTATACAGTACGTTGAAGTGCGTGTGAATGCCCATGCGCGCAAGTCGGCGCAAGGGAGGGAACAATGAAACCAGACTAGAATTCGAGCAGCATCCAATGAATTGGCAGGATGCTGCCTTGGCAAGGATGCTGCAGATGCTGAAGCCAACCAGCTGCGCACGCTGGTTGCTGTGCTACCCAAGGCGCAGGAGATTCGCAAGTTCTTTCGTCCAGGTGGGTGCGTGCAGGTACGTGTCCTTTCTGAGCAGGTCGGCTGCACCCGGTGCGCCAGTTTCAGAGCAAACGCACGAAGAGGAAGAGGAGACTCTGGCGCAGACCCCTGCAGAAGCACGCATGCTGTATCTCATGCTGAGCAGTCCAGGCCAGCCGCAGAAGCCAGGACATGTACACTGCACGTGCGTATCATGCGGGGGATATTCTGGCTGCTAGCTGATAGCAAACGGCTTTGGTGCCAAGCCGCAAGCTCTGCCTTCAGATGCAGCGCAAGCATCTGCTCCGCAGCGGTTGGTGGAAATCCTGGACTTCCAGGCAAGGCTCTCTTTGGCTTGTATTGCTGCAGCGGCAGTCCATGGCAGTTTTTTCCTGGGAAGGATGGCGCTGCCAATAAAGGGGGTGTCATCTACCTCGCTGATAGGTTCGCAAGACTTGTTGCTCATGGCCATGTAGGCATCGGTGACGCTGGCCGCAAGTACCTTCGATGCAGCTTTTGGGCAGGCTGGACTTCAATATTGCTGAGTTCCGCATGCTGTCAGAAGAAACCTTCCTTGTGAAGTTCTCATGGACTGTAATGGCATGATGTCAGTTCAGAAGGAAGCAGCTATGACTCATGATGCAGGAAATGCTGCTTGAACACTTTTTGCATGCCCATGCCCACGTAATCCTGTTCCTGTTGCCAAGATATTTTGGGCCCACAACTTAGCCAGACTGCGAGACGAGCCATGGGATGCAGACTCTGTCCAGCAATCCCAGAGAACGACGAGAACCAGACCAAGGTCCCTTGCCTTTTCAGCTGCCTTTGTGGCCTGACTCTGTTAGGGCTCCTTTTTACAGCCTCTTACCTTCGCTTCGTGCAAGATGAGCCCACCAACAGGCTCGTTCTTGGAGTCATTTGGTGTGTTTTCTTGGGATGCATGGCTGCCTGGGCATTGATGTTGGTGCGTGCCCCACACTTCAGACAGTTCAAGCCTGGTCGGGAGTTCATTTGGGCTTGCGTGGACTTCGATGAGCTCGCTACCGCAACGCCGCAGTACTACATTGTGCGATTAGAGCCAGGATCCAAAACATGCCGCGAGCGCAGGGCACACCCACCGGAGACGAAGCCCTGGCCGCAGAAGACCTGTCTCTGCTGTTTGGAGGACTTCCAGTCGCAAGGCACTTTGTCCATACTGCCTTGCGGCCATGTCTTCCATGAGAATTGCATTGTGGACTGGTTTTCAGCTTCACAGACGCGAGGTACTTGTCCCGTGTGTCGTTACAGCGCGCGTGTTTAGAGGTCAGACATATTTAGAACGTCGGCAACCAGAAGGATGGTTCCAGGGTGCTGTGCACAAAGCGGCAGCACCTTCCATTTGCCGTACAGTGTCAGCGTGCTTCTGACCTCCAGCAGATGACATACTGAAGAATTTTGAATGTTAATTTTTCCCTCTTGAGCATGGACAGGTCCGAGACTAAGATCTTCGACTTACACCATCCTTTGTTTTGATGGTCAAGCGGAGGCTTTAAAGCTACCTCCAACTGTGGGCAAGACAGCTGCCCGCAACTTGACTGCCTCTTGTTTGAGGTCATAGACTTATGAAGGCATGCCCAGAACATGTGGTGACCTCTTGTGCCTCTGCTCGTCCCTTATTATAGAATTGTACAGGATGTATAGCTTCCTTGTCAGCAGAGCAGTTACAGCTGGACTGCTGCTTGACTGGTCTCGTTGCTTATGCGAACCTGAGAAACACTGGACGTCCGTGCTGACATTTCGCCCTGCTACAAAGCCTGGTTTACAAGCCTGAGTCTTTCCTGATTGAAGGTGAGAATGTTCAACGAGCAAATCGGGCTCGTCCGCCTTGCAGCTGCTGCCAGGACCTAAGTCATCAAAACGAAGTTACCACATGCAAGTTTGGGGCTCCAAGACGAGCAGACCACAGCAAGGTTTTGGACGACTTGCGAGCCGCAGGGCATCCAGATTTCCAGGTGTCTGTCCTGTGAAGCATTTTCCTCTTTTCTTGCTTGGCGGTAGCTGTGATTGCGCTTTCTGAGCTTTGTCTCGTTCTTGCAGTTGCTTGTTCCAAGTTGTATTACTGTCCCCAGCCCTTGTCGAAGGAGATCCACGTGGAGTTGCCGCTTTCCATGGGATTGGGGGAGATGAAGGACCGACTCAACGTGCTTCGCGGGCGCCAGGCAGAGAGAGAATCGTGAATAAGCCAAGACTCTGAGCCTTTCCTTTACTTCTCCGCACAGGCAAACTGGCGCCGCAAGCTGACAGACACGCAGCAGACATGTCCAGTAGTTCAGCTGCAGATCAGCCGCGAGAGAACTGCAGCAGCTTTTTGGGATGCTCCGCCACTTCCAGGTCTTGGGCTTCTTTGCAGCACGCCAGCTGGGCTGCCTCTTAACTGCGGCGCTTCGACGACAACGCGACGGTGTGGAGCAGGCAGTGCTAGGATCCTTTGCCTGCTGACAGCGATATATGGGGAGGGCCTTTTTCGTCTTTGAGGTCTTGTCTGCCGTGGCCGCGACCTGGCTTTGGCAGACCAAGGCCATTCCAAAAAAGTGCTAGGACATGTCAAAAAGATCGCTTATGGAACCTTACACACAGGGATGCTAGGCCTGCTAGGCCTGCTAGGCTCTACTTGTCCTTGCCTTGATCTTCGCACTGTCTACCGTGTCGACAGTGACTGTCCGTCAGGCTGCAGCGTGGGCGTCGGATTTCTTGGAGAAGTGTCAGTTGCGTGCTGATGCCCAGGAAGCGCTGTGGCACATCTTGTGTTTCTTGTGCAGCAAAATTCAACCTTGTCATGGGGTACATGTATATAGACTCTGCGGTTTTTGATGTATTTGTTCCGGATCTGCTATGCGCTGACTGGAACTGAAAAGATCAAGAGTCACTGAAAAGGCCGGTTTTGAGCTGGCAAGGACGCTGAGCTGCTAACGCAAGACTCGGACAACCTCCAGAGCCTGGCGAATGCATTGGAGGTCAAGGGAAGCAAAGCAAAGCACTGCAGCAATGGTAGTCTCAGCACAAGCTCAGGCGACATGGACACACCATGGCGCTGTGAGGGAAGTGCGAGCACCAGCCGCTGCCAGCGATGCGGGCGAGGCTGGTATGGCAGTGCAAGGTTTCCCCATATCCAGGACTTGTCTTCCTCAGTGTGTGAGTGCGTGTATGCAGGTTTTTGGCTCAATTGGACCTGGAGCTCATGCGAGGGCCTCGCAACGGTTTGCCTTTGTTACTGCTTGGGAGTGTCCCTGCTGCTTGGTCCAATGTATGTTGCCAAGGTGGTGTTGGCACAGGACTTCTACAGCGCAATTGCTTTGCTGTGGCTCGGCAAGCGCAAAGTTTGGAATGTCCAACATCCTGGAGACCCCAGATAGCATCTCAAAGTCAGGCCTTGTGCGCTGCAAATCCAGGGTGGAGCAAATAGCGCAAGATCTAGAAATTTCTTGACATTCTAAAGGAATTTGATCTTGGACTCAGCTTTCAGAATTTGTTCTGGGGTATGGCACAGTTTCCAGGCTGTGGCCGTTCCTGGCTCGACAGCTGCGCCCGGCTGCCTGGGAGGCGCTCTTGGTCTGAATCCGGGTTTCTGGCTTCTATGACGCGCTGGAAGAAAGATTCTTGCGGTCGGTGTTGCGGAAGTTGAATTGGGGCTTGTTTGACGCAGGATGAACAAAGCACATCAAGGCTACAGCCCACCGTCTACAAGCCAAGCACTGGAGGTGCTACCTTGCCACCTCCGAACCACGCCTGAATCCGTACAGCTTCTGCTGCTGAGGCTGGCAGCTGTTTGAAGTAGTATGAAGTAGTTCTCGTCCAATCAAGGGTGCTCTGCTTCGTAGATGCCCAGTCATTGTCATTCATGCAGTTTAGTCTGTAAAAGCTCTGCCAGTGTAAAGGTGGGCACACAGCCAGAGCGGACAGTTCTTCGCTTTGCTACTTCCTGCAGAGGCACCTGGATGCAAAAGATATCTGGGGCTTGGTGTAGAGGTGCTTTTTTGAGAGTCTAATCGCATGACAGCGATGCTGAGCATCATGCAAAGGCTTCCTTTGCCACGCAGCAGATCGTTGTCCAAGCTGCTTTGGCCTTACTCCAGCAGTAGTGCGTCCCATCATGGCCCATGAGCCTTACATAAGGTCTCCTGACAGTTTCATGTCCACCTAGTTCTTCGCAGGTGCACGATGCCGTTGACCAGGCCGGTTTGTGCGTTCCCATGGAATGCTTCCAGCCAGGGCAGCAAGAGCTTGAAATTTGGGCTTTGTCTTTTGCGCGAGGCAGGACCTTTGCCCTCGCCGAAGTGTCCGCTATTGATCCTAATCTGCGGCGAGAACGCTTCGCAGGCACATGTCTTCTGGGTGTGCAGTCCATCCCATGAATGAAGCGCCTGGTTTGGAGTCCAAGTTGCGGAGGGCTTCTTTGATCAAAATTAGTACGCTCTGCATTGATCAGGCCCACATTGCCACGCAGCTGATGCAACACCGCGTAGAGGCATCCCAGCCCCCGACAGACGACCTGCCCGACAAGGTGGGCTTTGCAGAATGAGTTCACAGGAAGATGATAACATGCTAGTACCATGCTGATCCATGCCTTCCAGCGCAGGTTGTCCAGCTGATCTCTGGAAGTGGGGTTGGGGCCCCCTCCGTGCACGTCGGCCCGTGCCCCGTCTGAAGCTGATCCTTGGGCACAACGACGCAACGAACAGTAGAGCCTAGCAAAGTGGACCTCCATAATTGTTTTTTCTGCTCTGGTTCTGGACAGCTCTCAGGCATTGTGGCTGCGGCAAAACGTTCTCCGTCAGGATGTCTGCCCAGGACAGGCAATGTGCAGGATTCGATCTCATGAATGAAATGGCCATCCAAAAGGCAGCACGAACATGCTGCACCAGAGAGTTGCTGACAGGAACAGGGAGCTAGCTATCGGCAGCTGAAGCTAACTGCGGCAGTGGGCTTCGGGGCACTTGCGCAGAGTTTGCGGGGAGCGATGGAAGGTGCCTTCTTGATGGACATCCAAACCCACACTTCAGAGCAGTTTTGCAAGGTGTTGAGGGCTCCGTTCTGTTGCATCTGGACCTGACTGCTGGGCTGCCGCAGCTAAGCTTGATTTTTCCACCGACTTTTTACCGAGCCTTTTCCTTCGGCTCGGGGTCTTGAGGCTGCTGAGCTCCGAGTCCTTCGCCGCTGCTCTCTTCGACTCTTTGCATGTCATTTGGGCAGGGGGAGGGGCTTGGAGCCGGTTTTTGTGGAATTCAGGCGGTTGGAGGCAGCTTCTTCTGTTGACACGAAGGGCTGTGGTTCTCAAGACCAGTTCCCTAGAAGATCAAAGTAGACGGGCTTAATACAAGGCATGCCAGAGACCTTGTGAGCATCTCAGGAGCTGATCTTACTTGGCCGCGTTGCCCGCGTGGGTGCGCAGCGCAGAGATGCTGTCTTCCAGCTGGAGAACAGGAGCGGGCATGTACCGGAGCTCATGCACCTGTCAGGCCTGTCACTTCCCTAGAAAACCTGAAGCAAAGCGGTCTGGTTCAAGTCCACAAACACAGCAAGCTACAGCTCATTACGGTACTACTGTCATGGGAGCCCCTCAGTTCATGCCACTCTTATCACTTTTCCCTTTCAGGGTGAGGGTGGCGATCGAGCTGCCAGCCGGAGTGGAGGAACCGGGTGTGCCTTGGCTTTGGCTCTGACCTTTAGTTGACATGCCAGAATTGGCTATGCGAATCAAAGCTGAGATGGCACCCTGGCGCTGTGGGCCACTACTCAGCACCTCGGCGACACTCAGACAAAGTCGGTGGCACGACGCAGTCACTTGAGCTGGGCTTGTGGCAGCACTTGGTTTGCTCAGGCTTTCTCCCGCGGGTCAGAAGCACTGTGAAGGCATGGATCGAGATGCGTCGCAGAGTTGTTCGTGCAGATCTGTGTGCGCTCTTCGCACGGTTTCATGGCTGGGGCTGGACTTTGCCAGGCGAAGGCCTTCTGTGGGGACGAAGCCTCACTACGAGGAGGACTTGGTGATGACTTCAACGCAGCAAGGCCACTCGTTCCAAGCTAGAGGGCTGTATACTCTGGGGCGTAGGATTCGACAGCTCAACTTGATGCGCTCTCTTGAATTGAATTCACATTGGAGAGGCATGATGGCGTGCGTGACCCAAATTTCGTGGTGAACGCCTACCAGCGTCTGCAGTACGTTTGTGGCGCTTTGGTGGCTCGGCACAGAAACATGCGGGTGTTTCACTGAGGTAGCAGAGGGTGGTCCATGGCATTCGCCATGTTAAGCTGCTTTGAATTTGCAATGCTGCCACCTTTGAAGAAGTGTATTGTCTCATTTGCAGGCGATCATGCGACGTTTGGGCGGGGCGTTCCCGTTGCAGTACGATGGTGCTGCCTCGGAGCTCACTGGCGAGGAGTGTTTCCAATTGCCTCTTGCAGCAAGCATGAGGGAAGCAGCGATCAGCCTTTTGTAGGTGGCCAGGGAGGTTCTGTACTTGACGTGCGTAGGAGCTGGGTGTTACTTGTTGCACAACGGCACAGATGACTGCCAGCGCGACTGGCAGCTATACAGGAACAGGCAGAATGCAAGGAAGGACCCAGGAAGAAAGAGCATGAAGGAAGCGCAGCAGTCGGCGCTAAATATCCTTTGAATTTGTTAGCCACCAGAGCCTCATCCAAGCAAGGAAGCTTTGGTTGAAAACGCTGGTTGGGGAACCTGGAAAGCGTAGACATGGGAGCGGCTGGTACAGAGTTGCTGATCCAGAGATGAGATTAAAATGGAGCATCGCAGAACACCGTTGTTGGACAAATCAGTCTGTCAATAATTTTCTTGATGTGATGTTCCAGAGGCTGGTGGAGTACTCGAAGTTGAAGCTGCGGCCTTCTCTTTGGAACATTTGGGCCTTCGTGGATGTGTTGTACTGGCAGCTAAAGGAGGCGCAGAGGAGGATGAGGTAGATGGTGGTCTTCTGATTGTGATAGCCCTGCAACAGGTGCATCACCCGGAGTCCGTTGCCAATCAAGCCTGCATCCCGGAGGCCGTGTGAATGTGATTGAATTGGATTGGAGTAGGGATCAACCTGCTGCACATGTCCACTTCCTAGCATTTCTGCCTGCAAGGAGGGCGCTCCTGCACCAAAGCCTGTTGAAGAGTTACGTGCCCAAGACTGCCCAATGTTCAAAGGCCCGAGAAGAGGGACTTGAAGCACTTGCGAAGCACTTGCGAAGCACTTGCGAAGCACTTGCGAAGCACTTGCCAACATTTTGGTGTATGGGGCCTTAGGGCTGCTGGATCTCTGGCACGTTGGAGTCATGCAGGCGAGTTGATTGCCTTCATTCTGCGCACAGCGCGCGACTTCGCCACCCGACAAACACGGAATGACGAGGAGGGGGTAGGTCTCAAGCTGTGCAGTTGCGCTCTCATGGCAGGCCAGTGGTAGCAACATGTGCAATGATTGTAATTAGAAGGTGGATCCTGAGACGGTGGTGGCTGCGCGCTTGCACAACTTCCATCAGGAGTACTGCTCTACGGGCTGTGATTGAAACGCAGTGTTTGATCTTCAGCTCAGCATCTTTTTGAGCTCGCTTCCCTGGGCAGCAGGATCGGTTCTGTGGAACCTGGCGCCTTCAGCCCTTCTCCAGCGATGGTCACCCAGTCTTTGCCAAGTACGACCGAAGCGAGAAAGGTTCCGGGCAGTTCTTCCTATACTACCGGGCAGCTCAGCGCATGTGGGTCATTGATGCTGAGCTGGACAAGGCCTCATTGCTGCCCCACACACTGCCTTTGCTCTACTTTGTGTTTGCATCAGGTGGCGCCAGCTTTCGCCTACACTCGAAAGCCCGATTTTTCAAAAGGCTGGTGGAGGATGGCCTCGTGGGTCGCTGGGCACCAGAAGCAAGACAGGCAGCACACAGGCTGCGTGTCTGGCTCTGCGCATCCGTGGCCATAAGGTACGCAACAAAGGCATGACTGTGACCAAAGTGGAGCATGCACTGGCATTCCAGAAAGAAGCTTTCGAGGCCAGGCATCCTGGATCCTTCTCTGCTCTGCTGCATTCCCCATCCCGCTGACGAGGTGCGTGGCGTGGATGAGCAGCTCACGGGATCCGCCGAGGCCTTCTTGCGTCTGTAGACGTATTCCTCTTGCCTGTAGTGCAAGACCATGATTCGAGACCAGGCACACTTCCAAAGCCAAGCAGACAGGAACTTCCGAAGACACGCTGTTGCAAGAAAGCTTTGGCACAGGAGTACCTGGTTCCACTCAACGGCACATACCTCCGCCAGCCTAGAGAAGAAGATGTCAATGGAAAATCACATTTCGTGCTGGACCCTCGACGCCTCATTTAGCTCTGTGACGTTGGGGACTGGGTTTTCAAGACTGAGAAAGCGCTGCAGAACGCTAGGAGAAACCTCGCCGACATCTCTTCTGGGACAAAGGCGCCCTGGCAGAGGTAGAAGACTGCTGAGTGATTATGATCTGTCCGAGCTAGGCTTGCCTGTGTGCTTTCTGCACCTTTTTGTCGTTTCAGTGCGACTGAGACATGGACACGTGGTGCATCGCCCATGTTTGCCACTCCGACGAGGGCGTCTATGCCAAATCCTCGAGTATCTGGGCCAAGTTCACCCAGGTAACAACAAGTCCGGTGGTGCTTGCCAACTGCGAATGTCACGTTGACATGGCATCTGCAACTCTTGAGAGTTAAGCCATGAGAGTCAATTTCTGTTGCCACCCTGCCCTTGCCTGACAAGCTGAAGACTGTGCTCAGATAGTCAATCCTAAGGCCATGACGTTGGGGGGCCTTATGTAACCATGGGCCAGGACGAGCAGGCTCCGTTTGATGGTCGCACCATTGTGGAAGCAGGACTGCCCACTACTGACTGGAAGGTGCCTTCAGCTCGTGTGACTTTCGTCATGGCTGCGGAGGAAGTTGCTGCGGCTGCTGCTGCTGCAAGGCTTGTGGAACTTGAGCAGCTGAGATCGGTCGGAAGACACGTGGATTCTAGTAAGGCGAGAGGCACCTCAGGACGAGGAGGAGGACTTCCAGCTCCTACGCTGGGAGGACAGCAGCCCCACGTCTGCAACAACCAGAGGCATCGTAAGGGGTGTCAGTCCCATGCAAGGCAATTCAAACAACTAAGGCCATGACTGCATGCTCTTCTCCAACCGATGCATGGCAGCAAGTGCATACATGTCTGGCGGCAATCTGCGAAACGTGCATGTCTGCCATGGTAATGCGCTCTGTACCGCATTCATGTGTTTGGATTAGGCTATGTGGTGAAGTTCAGTTTTCGTTGAAGATCCTGGATGCTTGTGCTCGTCATTGGCTGCTGTTACCTTCCAGGCAAGCACCAGGTCTGCTTCCTGTCCAGCCAGCCAACCAAGCATCTTGGCATGCTTGGACTGACTGCTGCCATCAGTGCAACAAGACGCAAGCAGCAGCAATGTTCGCTGAATCCGGCAACCGGCAGAATGTTTCTGGCGAAGAGACGGTGATGCAAGCTTGTGCTGGAAACAACGTGCAGGTTGAGAATATCCATGCACCCTGGGCTACTTCATCTGCTGGAACGCAACCATGCCGCTTGTCATGGGAGTTCAAGACCGCTGCCAGGGAACAAAGTTATGCATTCTGCATGTTTCTGCATGGTTGTCAGTTTGGACGGCGACTAGGTCTCCGTTGGCGAGTCGTTGGATGCTTTAACGGCCGACCACACCAAGATCCTAGGCCACGCCATTACGATTGAACGTTTCCCAAGATAGCATGGCAGGAGGCCAACGCAGGCTGCCTTGCTGCTCCAGGCTGCCTGACGGGTGTTGATCGGACAAGAGAGGACGCGGCGCAGCTCCTTGATGGCAAGTACTGTCTCACAGGCGGGGGGCCATTAAGCAGCCTGCCTTTGCAGCTATGTTCTTGAGCCTCCTTTCAGCAGGCGACGCAGTGCTCAAGATGCTGGCCATCTTCGTGCGTCTTCGATGCGGCCTCCCTGTGTGTCTTGGCAAAAGGGGGAACCACCATGTTTTGTGATAAGCTCTTCTTCAGGATCTTGATGGGCGAGTGTGGATGTGGCAAGACCGAGCTTGCCTGAACCTCAAACTGCCTGGCATATGTGTCTAACTTGGCTTTCACAGCTGTCGTCTCATCTTCAGGTTGTCTTAGATTCCGATGCAGGTCCGATACCTCTGTGCCTGGCTCGGGGTGGAGCTGGTCACGCTCAATGTCCATGGAGGGACCACAGAGGCTGACATTGACCGAGTCCCCTGGCAAGATACGCTCAAGGCTGCGTTCGAGGCTTCAGTTTCGCGGAGCCCGCAACCATGGCAGACATGATTCGACCCTAGAAAAAGACCTGAGACTGTGAATCTCTTGCATGGTCACTCAGCCAGTCATGCCATGTCATCGGCCTTCTCTAACTACCGCATGAACAGGATGCGATTCTGATGCTTGCAGGAGCTAATTTAGAATCTCCGATGACGGGAGCTTTTTGGTGCGTATGGCGGCTGAGGTGTTTGATCAGTCTCGGAAGATAGCATGCGAGAACATCGAGACGCGCGTGATTGTCTTCCTTGACGAGATCAACACATCCCACCATGTGAACATGCTCTGTGAAGATTTTTGCCAGCATTGCAGCTGCAGATCTCTACCGCATAATGCTCCTATATTCTCCTGCCACAGCAGCTGCCTAGCGTGAGGCCGTGCTCGAAAGATCGCTACGCCTCTTGTCTGAGCATGGGACTTTCGGGGCTGGACTGTCAGCATGCTGCTCGTTGAGGTGGTTATGCCCTGCCCTGCAATGTGGATGTCTTGGCAGCGCTGAATCCGCGAAGGAAGTTGGGGCCCCACATGCTACGGGACCCAAGCTCAGAGCTTTTAGGTGGTCCCGTCTTCCCGCTCAGGCGACCACAGCAGCAGCTGACCACTGGCCTCGTCTTTGGTGGTCAGGGCAGTGCTGAGGACGAGGGCTTCGGATCAAATTGCGGCGGTTAGGAAGCGTGGGTCTTTTTGTTGTAGATTTGCGATGTGGCCACAGAGCTGTGCGTGCTGGGGAGATGCCAGGAAGAGATGAGTGGTCTGGTGTACCGTGTGCACGCGGTACCAGAGACAGTCAATGACTTTCTCTTCGACTTCGGAGTTCCGGCCTCAGGTGAGAGATCTTCGGAGCGACTTTATTTGCGATTTTTTCCACGAAGCTGGCGGCAGGCCTTGACCCAGAAGGCAGAGAAGATGTACATCCGTTCCATGGTGCCCTCACTCCATTCCTGTGTCAAGCCTCATGCGAAGACAGCTCTAATACAGCTTCGCTGGCAGGTACTTAATGCTTGGCCCGAAAGCCACGAGCGCGAGCAGGAACTGGTGACCGAACTGCTCTGCTTAGCACAGGTGCGGAGCAGACCTGCCACAATTTGCTGTGCTCTTTTCTGTTTCCAAGTTCTAGGCCTTTATCCGCTGGGAAGAGGGTGATCCGTCTTCAGTCTCTCTGCGAGATGTGCTCGCAGCTGAGATTTTTGCACCAGCGCTTGCCTCCTCCTCTTGGACATGGAACAGACTTCTGCTGTTGGACGAGTTTTGCAGCGAATCTGCCGCGTTGACATGGCTTAGGAAGCGCTGTCTGCGAGTAGCCAAATGGACGCAGGAAGCCGTGTTTTCTGCAAAGCTAGAAGCGCAAAGCCAGGCTATGAAACAGTCTGGGAAAAGGTACTGCGAGGCATCATTGAATCAAAGGCCTAGCGTACCATGGCTGCCATGACTTTTGTTTGCACAGTAGGGTTTGGCAATCGTTGTGATGACGCTTGAGTCGAACAGGAGCGCTTCGGAAAGAAGGGAGCCAAGAACCAGCCCCACGCTCCTTCTGTTGCGGCTTGACTGCGCTGGAGGGAGGCTCATGCTTTACATGCGTTTTTCCATGTCTTGGTGGTGTTCGGCCGTTGTTCAGGTAGTAGCAGTGGCTCTTGTGTACAATTACCGCCTACCCTCTCGAGACAGGCGACTGAGTTTCAAAACGTATTGCAGATGGCTCATGCTGGCTCAACCTTGGCCTGCCAGTCGTCACAACCTCTGGGTCGACCTCGCCCGTCGGGCGCCCTGGCCGGGCGACCGGGGGGAGATGAAGGGCAGAGGCTGGGCGGAGCTCAGCAAGCTGCGCGAGGACAGCCGTGAGCGTTCCATGATGGGTGTGACTGGGTGTGAAGTTCAGGAGAACGGGCTCACAGCACCTCGTCAAGCAGTCACAGTCAACCCTGGCTGAGGTGCTTGTCCAAGCTTGCCTGAACAGCTGAACAGCTAGCTGAGGCAATGGAGAACAGACTCCAGAAGGTGCAAAACAACGTGGCAAAGGAGTTTGAGGTTGAGAAGGATGTTGTGTAGCGGCTGCAAATATGATGTGTTTCACAAGTGTTGTGCAACTATGAATTGGCATTTCTTGTGAAGCTCGTCTTGTAATAATCTGCATAGCTGATAGCTGCTAGCTGCTTCTGCTTCTTGAAGCGCCATGCTAGCAGCTGAGGTGATGAATGAAGCGTTAGCGGAGAACGTTTTCGTGGGACTCTTGTGCATCATGAATCGCATCCCCCTTTTCATCGTTGGCAAGCCAGGCCTTGGATTTAGCATTGGCATGCTCTGGAATCTGGAATCGAGCCATCAAACACCGCTTGTTGCCAGGCACATCCAAAACACTCTGCATGCAGGTCTTGTGGCTTGCCTGCTCTAGTCAGATGAGCCATAGTCCAAATCCCCCTTGGCCACCCCTACAATACTCCCATGTCTAATCCCTATGTAGCCGCTTTCAAGGAGTTTAGACCACAGCTCAGATGGCCTTCTTGGGGGTGAATGCCGTGTCTTTTTACAAGGCTCAGCAACCTCCAGGGCAAGCAGTCCAAGTCAAAGTTCCTGCAGACATTGCCGGCCTTACGCTTGATGCAGTACCAGTGCCTCGTCTCTGGGGCCAGCACGAACTTTTTCGTTATTCTTGTGGGGACCTTCAACGGCTCTTTCAGGCTGCGTGCCACTTTGATCAGGTGCTCGCCGCTTTCCACCGCGGATGGCATTCAGTCGGAGACCCGGTTGGTTCGCTACATTTAGAGCCTTTATTTTTGAATGTTTTCTGAAATTCCAGGGGTTGATGCTGAATCATGGTACACGTTGAAGGCGACAGTTCGACGCCGCGTCACGCTTTGCTTCCAATGCCTTGGATGCACAGGCATGGCTTGTCACATCAATGCAAATGTAAACAGAAAGGATCTTGCAGCGCCTCATGGATTCCGCTTGTCGCTTCACAGCACAGGTGGTGCTGCTGCTGGATGAGGTCGGCCTTGCCGAATTCTCTCCAGTCGCCCGGCTTGGTGGTAATGTGACTAGATTCCTTGATGTTTGGGCTTTGTGGTTCACGCCAAGGATATGCCGCTGAAGGTCCTCCATGGAATTCTGGCAGAGCCTGGAATCGTGTCTGTGGTAGGCTTGCAATCTGATATCTGACGTGCTTGAGCAGTTCCGCATGGATGTTTTTTGCCATGATGGCCGGCCACAGGTTTGTCGAATTGGCGGCTAGACCCTGCAAAGATGAGCCTTGGATCAGAGTTGCTGGTGCCTACCTTCGTCTAGTCTTCGTCTGCAGATCCCAAGAAGAAAGAGCCCCCAGCCCAGGAACCGCAGCGTTTGTTTGGCTCGACCAGACCCGGACTCCGCGGAGGTGGGTCGAACAGGCCCGGAGCCCGGAAATCTCAGAAGCTCGAGGCACACTCAGGCGGAGATTTTGTAGGATGTGGACTCGGAATAGCTCAGCAAAAAGAATTGGACGAAGTCGGCAGAAGACTGCAAAAAGCGAGGCTAGGATTCCACAATTCCTGAATGCAGAGAGTTTTCAGGTGCCGGTCTGCTCGCGGCTTTCAGTGGGGGTGCTTCGCCCGCTTGGTTGCAGGACTCCTGCATCCATTGAGAGACTATGGAAATGCGCCAAGCAGGGTAAAGCTGTTGCAGAGCTCTACATGTCGACTTGGGACACAGGAGCTGTCTGGCGCATTTTGGAGTGTGTTCGCGGACCAAGGCGGGCAAACGGCAGTCAGGAGCAATCGAGCATTGGACATGATCTAGCAATCTTGCGTCCTAGATACATGTACCCTTTTCATGGCTGCATCCCACAACCTTGCTTAAACGTTTTTGGCTTTGAGCTGACAGCTAGGTGATCGAGACTGGCTGGGCATGCGGGACTACTACAGCTTCGTGCGTGCTGTCCGCGATGGATGTCTGTCAGCCAATGTGGAGCAGCCCACAGCGGAGTGCCTTGCCGAGACAGTAGTGAGCGGCCTTGATGCTGACCACAGCTCTAGTGGGAATGTCAGCCATCACAGGATCTTGGCATTTGCTACACGACGAAACTTTGGAGGCACGCGCTGAGCTGCTAATCTGTTGGTACAGTGCCAGTGCAGAGTAGAGCTCTTGACATCCTCAAGCCATTCCAAATTTGCAGATGATGAATCTGGCAAATTCTCTTGGAATCCCGGGAGATTCCGCGAGGGTTTTCACTTTGCCTATGAATGAAGGTCAGCCAGCCTTGCTGGAGAGGCTGCTTCACGCCATGCTCCCTGCAGGCACCCTCATGAGCCACTTGTGTTCATTTCACAGACCGGCGTGCTATTGCTTAAGTCTTCATGCATGCGGAGGTTCCAGATGCAAAGGCGAGCGCCTTTCATGGCCGTTGAAGGAGCTTCTGTGCTCTAGCCTGTCAGACAGGACCGTTCACATGACGGATGTGCTAAAGTTGTCTCAGGCAAGAGTTGTAGCTTGCACACATCAATTAAATTTGAGTGCGGTTTGAATGGCACTGCTACGGAACCGCCAAGCCCTTAAAAGGCATTCTAAAAACCTGGACACCGTATACACCGTCTAAGATTGATATGAGCCCACAAAACCACACCAAAGCTGTGAATTTGCTTTACTCTACAGGTCCGGACTTACACCCTTATGGCTTGTAAGTAAACTCAGTTCGGGGCTGCCAATGTCAGGGACGAATATTTGAAAAAAACACTTTGGATGATCGTTGAGGGTCGACATGTGCCTTCAAATGCTGGATCCGGAAAAGCAGTGTTCATGCAGCCTTTGGTCGATCCGCTTTTGGCCAAGAGGACAGCTCGGCACCTGCTCCTGGCCAGCGAGGGCGCAGCCTTGCCTTGGCTGCAGGCTTTTCTGGTTTGAATTCATTGGGGCTCCCCAATATAGTAACTGGAATTAAGTTCCTTCACAGCTACCTAGTTTTGGTCAATCCAAGGGCTGATGTCTGAGCTTCATTGTCTGCAGGCGGCCGGCGTGCTTCCCCTAGATGCAGAGATCCTGCTGGGCAGCGACTTCCCAGAAGATGCCTCGGAGGTCCGAAGTATTGTAGCAGAAATGAAGTCCATACGGGACCACGAAAGATACATTGGAGCTCTCGATTCAACTTTGCCATTCTCAATTTTTTCAACTTTGGCTGGGAGTCTGCTCATTGACCTGCACTGCTTGAATGGGACGAGCAGGCCTATGCCATTCGCCAGCTGATGCGCGTTCGCGATGCCATGGCCAAGGCAGGTCCTCTTTCCCTTCTGAACCTCTCACACGTTTTCCTGAGAAATCTCAGGGTCATCTGCAATTTGTTCGGTTGCCTTGCCATGCAAGCCTCATCTTGATAGGGGCGGATGCTGCTTCTGTGTGGCATGGATGTCATCTACGAGGCTGGGTGATGGGTATCACATTGCGGTATTGGTTTCTGGGGACCGCTTCTGACGGGCTTTGCAACCCTTGGAGCAAGGCACTCTACGACGTTTTGAACCAGCGCTACGTGCGGCGTCGCACCGAGGTGGGGTCGTCATTTGCTTGGCTGGAAAGCTGGTTCAAGACGTTGCCCGGTACATTCTGCATTGAGAGATGTGAATCAAGACATTTGCTCGCTCGTGAGGAGGGTGAGATCGAATTGCTCCTCACCTGCGTATTGGGACAGGACTGATGTACCGACTGTTGATGGACGAAATCCTGCATCAGTTTTCTTCTGCCAAGTATCCCTTGCAAACCCTGAATTTTAACATTGATTGCCCAAAACAGTCCGCAAGGGTTTAAGCGCCGCGAATGGACGAAATCCTGCATCACCCACTCGTGTTATCAACAATGACATTAGAGGGGCGAGGGGAGCGAGTCAATGAACATGCCACGCTCTGCTTGTAGCGGGCGATGCACGATTTTGTCCATCCACCGTCTCGGAGTACGGTTTCTTCTTGTTAGCGAGCACGCAGCGGGCTCGCCCAAAATATGAGGATGCTCCACGCGAGCGCGCAATTTCGAGCCAAAATCCAAGGACGTCCACACAAGAGCGTGATTTCGGCCAAAAATGCGGGGACGCTCCACGCGAGAGCTCACTTTTCAAGATATTTTGGCTCGAAATCACATGCTGGCCAAGTTTCTAATTCGTTTCTCCATATTCATACTAGTTTCAAACTAGTTTCAAACCTAGTTGCAAACTCCAGTTTCAAACTCGCTCTCTAAGGGGGAATCTGATTTTACGCGGCCCGATTTTTGAAAATCATACCATTTGGAGAGCTCTCTTTTCCAAAGATGGGGCCGCGCAAAATCAGATTCCCCCTTAGAGAGCGAGTTTGAAACTGGAGTTTGCAACTAGGTTTGAAACTAGTTTGAAACTAGTATGAAACTGGAGAACCGAGTTTGAAACTTGGCCTTCACGCGAGAGCGAGATTTCAAGACAAAATGGCGCCGCAATGCCAATTGTGAAAAATATGCGCAAGCGTGGGCTAATTTAATTATTTGCTTACTGCAATGCAACAACCTCCATACCGTACTGTTGATGGACGAAATCCT